TCAATCCACTGATGATGAAGAAAGTCTAAACCGTTCTGGCGTAATTAATTTGGTCGATTTTAAAAACGGTGAAATTTGGCTCCTTGCAGGAAAAAACCTGTAAATAAAGCATTTACATGTTATCACATCTGTTGCTCATGGTCATCATCTAGTTTGTTAATATTACATAAGCAAAAGTTATAATGACTAGTATGCAGGGATCAACGTGTCCTTTGCGTAAGATAACTGGTGTAAATGAGCTCCTTGTGTAAATCACAGCTGAAGGGAGAACAAACCAGAGGACAAGTCGTACAGTACCAAATAGTGGTGACTAATTTAGTTAAGCTGAAGACAGCTGTACTGGTTTCTAGCGACGTAAACAAGAGGCTGATCTCAGTTGTTGCTCTGCTTATCAATTGACTCATCACTATTGAGATGCGTAGCAGTGCTCTATATAATGAACCACTCGACAGGGCCAACGCTTAAGAATACTACGGGGAAAAGAGACGAGACATAAGATGCAGTCGGTTTTCATTATGGTCCGCAGATGGGATGAACGGGTGATCGGGTTATTGAGAACAGGAGAGATTGATGGACAGAGAGCTGGACAATTGATTTATGATTCTAAATTTGGCTCATGAATGGAAGGGTTGATTTCCTTTTTGGAGCACATTGCAGAAAGGAAGCTTTTTAGAGGCAAAAATAATCTCATGATCTATGTCACTGTCAGCTTCACTCACTCCTCCCACTCGTTCACAGTCCCCTGAGTTCGAATCAAAATCCCCTGCACCTCATCAGTTCACCTCCCTTTATATTCGACTCCTCTTCACACACTCAATGTCTCGTCTCTACGGGACACCACAGACCCTCACGCAACCTACCCGCTACGTACCTGAACCCTTGCCAGCTGCTCCAAGGGAATCTCCCGCCTCATCCGCAACCTGAGACTCAGACTGCCCTTCAGTGAAAGTTCCATCCTGATTACCTAGTCTCCATATCTCTGTCCGGTTCCGCAATCTTGTCACACTATTCTACTTACCCCCTGGCTGTCTCCTGTCCCCCATTCGTGACAGTCACACTTCAGGCAGATAAAATAAGCCATAGTTTAATTTAGCATATTACTGTATTATGACTTTTCACAGCTTTTCACTTTTTCTCTCTGCAATTTGGTGCTGAACAGGTCGGATGCAGGTGAAGAGTTGTTTTTTCCTTCTTCAACTTAGCCAAATTAGTCGTGAAAGCACGTGAGAACTTTAAAGCCATCGAACCAAAACAACATATTTTAACATCCAACTCCTAAGTACTCCAGTTGTTAGGTTGGAAAACAAAACCAACCTGGTTGCAGGTTTAGTATACAATCATTGTTGGGTAGAAAATGAGTATGAGTAAGAAATGAGTAAGAACACTTTGGCAAAATAATTGAACGTAGACTAGATGTGGATTCTGCTTCTTCGTTGACGGCTGGCGGTTGTTGGCTAAAATGAACCGCTGAGGGGAATGGCAGAGTTGGGTGGTTATTCCCTGTGGTTGGTGTTCCCTGCATGCCTCTGTCAGAAGGAAGGGGAACATCCTGGAGAAGTTACTGGTCTGTTTCAGGGCTGCTGACACACATTGAAGCAGCAATATGATGTTCCAGTGACACAGTTTTCAACATGAGTTTCATCCCATTGTTTTCCTCCACATTGCTCAATTTGTATCTTTTTTGCCTTTATTTTCCACAGAAATGCTGTCAAAGCCCCTTTACTCAGTTACAGACCAACACAGCTTGTAAATGTAGCAAGTGAACATAGTGAGAGGAGGAACAATACACAGACTTAAAATGTATGTCAGCAACTTCCTCTGCCCCTAAGTGGCCCAAACGAGAAACCATAGTTATTTCAGATTAAACAACAAAGGGTCTGTTCACATAGCGATGACTACGGTGCTTATTCGTCTTTTGTTTAGGCCAAAGATGGCGAGTGGATGAGTACAAGAACACCGTCGTCCTGTCTCCTGGAGTCGTACAATCCTGCGGACGCTCTGCAGTAAAACAAGTCACACTGCGAGGACAAGCAGGTAGAATAAGGACAGGGAATTTGTTTAAAGTTCTCTGCAGGCGCACACTCACACACACACTAACACCAGTGAGTGAATCAAGAGATCCTAATGGCCTCGGTGAGGATAAATGTTTCAGCCATCAGATGATCACACTCCCATCCACAGACATTCCCACTTTATAACATAAACCACACAGGTTTTTTCATGCAATATTAATACAAAGAAAGAAATCTGAGACTGTTGTAGATTGAATGAGCTCCATTCTATTCATGTATAATGTTCTTAGTTCTATAGTAGCCATTTTATTTTGTGAGTGGTGTAAGTCTTAATGTTGTAATTTTGAGGTATTTTTGTTGATCTTGCAGTGAGAACAGACGGGTCCATTTACTACCAAATCTGTGAAGAATTTACTGCAGGTACTTAAGGGACATGAGTGAAACATCATAAGCCATGTTTATACTGTTTATTATGAATGTATAATAAGGGTTACGGTGAGACATGGCGGTGAGCTGCATCTCAGATGCCAAGGCGGCCACCAAAACTCCTGTCCCTCCCTTTGGTGTCAGGCTCATTTTTCATTTGTCTCTGATGATTTAACGCTTTCACAGCGAGGGAAGGATTGTGGGAAAACAAACAAAGAGCCTCGTACTGGTTGTTTTGTTCTACCTCTGACTGCAAACAAGAGACGTAGCTGGAGGAAATGATGCCGCCGGGCTGCTGTTTTGACAGACATTGTTTACATGTGCCGACCACCGTGTGTGTCTGTCTGTGAGGGGGTGAAATGTTGCTTACGTGGAGCATGACACATCTAAGAACAGATGGATTAAATACATAATGCTTTGCTATTGATGGATGTGTGGGAATGTGGTTCATGGCTCCTGGAGCCGCTACTTTGTCAGGAGCCACTAAGTCAAGAATTTAGCAATTCTCTGCTATGTCACGTCAGACACTATTTTTGATAACTGACACTGTGACAAACGTGAATGCTTCATAATAAATGTGCGGACCACTCATGGTTGGAGATGTTTGATTTTAGTGCAGCAGTAATGTGATTAAGCAGGAATGTAAGAAAGTGACATGTGAGCACAGCATCAGTTCTAGCATTTACATATTTATTTTGTGTACTATTTACTGTAATATATTCATTAAGTTTTGTTTATATTATCTTTTTTTTAACTTGTGACATGTTTTGTTTGTTAAAAACATATTTAATTAGCATTAGTTTGAAGTATTACAATTTTCAAATATATGTAGTAAATTTATTGGTTATTTTATTTTCCTTACACTTGGTCCTCCTCTATTTTTCTACTTCAATAACTATCTGTACTAATAGCCCGTGCAATTACATTCTGTGATACTCCAGTGCATGTGAGTGTGTGTGTGAGTGTGTGTGTGTGTGTGTGTGTGCGCGCGCACTTGAGTATATGACAACACAACCCGCACGGCTCGCTGTCTATTCCACGGAAAGGTAAACACAGTCAGCCGTGTGAATGTTAACTGTAGAGTGTGTGGAAATGTGTGCGTTTGTGTTTCCCGTCAAATGAGCAGACACTGTGTCATATAAAATATTTGTCCAAGTCTGTGTTTGTGTATGTGTGTGCGTGTTTGCCGGCATTATATCATCTGACATTTTTTTTCCTCCTCCTCCTCTAAATTGACCCATAATACTAACCATGACTCTCTTCAAGCTCACAAGTCATGACAAAACCAACAGCTGCAGTTGGTGAGAGGGAGGTGAGCTGTTCTGCATATCCCATTCATGGCATCAGCATGAAATGACCATTTTTAAACCTAGCCGTTATGTACCGTACAGATATGAAAGCAGTGTTGCTCATCTCTCTTATTGCCAGGAAAGAAAGCGGTTCAGTGGATCAAATGATGGATGACTATGTGGAGTCTCTTCTGTCACTTGGAAGGAGTATCAGATTTATATGGTCGGTAACATGGTGGTGAATTATTTATTTTCCATATCACCCTCAGCCAGAACGTGCTTCAAACCAAACCATCATCCAGTTCATGCAGAGTCTGGGAGAAAAGCCTTTACTCACTGAGAAGTAATTTTAATATAATAAGATTATAACAGAGTTCTCTAACCTCCAAAACAATAGAATCAAAGTGGTTAGAAACAAATGGCTTATTTTGAAGTTATCCTGTCTATACAGAATTGTGTTTTTCTTATTCTTTTAAGGTGTCTACATGCCTCATGTTGTTTGCATCTGCAGCTCAAGTGGCAGGAGGCGAAGTGAAGAGCAGATGAAGAAGGAGAAAGAGGAGACAGAAGAGACTCAATTATCTTCACCTGCTGGCTGGATTGTTTCACCGACGTGATGGACCTCTCGCCTCCCACTGATGAACGGACTGTTTCCTCAGACAGGGAGAACAGCGAGACTTTAAAACGCTGCCTCTATATCTAGCACCATCTTCTACTTCACCGATCCACTCTCCAAATGCACAGCGGGAGGAGAGAGGCGAGGAGAGGAATAGAAAGGAAAGATGGGGGAGATAATAAAGGAGAAAGAATAGGAGAGAAAGTCAAAGAGCGGGGAAAAAGCTGATACGGTGAAGGGGGGAGAGAGATGAGGGGAGAAAGTTGACCGGAAATAGGAAGAGGACAACAAGATCGGAAAAGATGAGGCAGGAAATAATTGGCAAATAAAAAGAACATAAAGAACACTAAAAGAAATGAGCAATGAGGCAGAATGAAGGGAAATACAGAACAGGCAGAGCAATGAAAGAAAAGAGGGATGGAGGAGAAAAGAGAAGCAAAGAAAATAAATAAATAAATAAAAGAGCAGAAGAGAAGGGAAGACAGGGGAAAGGAGTGACAAGAGGTAAAGAGCCAACAAGAAAAATATAGAGACCGTCAAAAGAGAAAGACAAGTGTTTTAATATGAATGCATTCATTTCAACATAAAAATGTGTTTTCCAGCTATATCCATTACAAACAACTCATAGTTCATGTAAACCTTTGATTGCAAATCGAGTCTTTGGTTTGCATTTCGTGTCAATATGATCCAAAAGATGTCTCATAGACAAAATAATGAAGCGAAAATATGGGCCGCAATGCACGTAAAATACCAATCCTATATCCAGTGCAAGTGAAACAGGAACTACATTTCCCAAGATGCACTGAGCGCGGGTTAAAGGTTATCAGGACGTGCATTACGTGTGCTCCCTAGCTCCTCCGAAAAACACGAACTTTGCACTCAATAAATTGTGTAATCATTTTAATTCCGCGTAATAAGAGGCCTGGAGGTCCGTCGGCGCGCGCGCGGGGTGTATGAGCGACGCGGCCGCGCTTCGGTACCAGAATCCCGATAAGGAGAAGCGAGCCGTGCCGCTGGACTGCTGCGGAGGACTCAACAACGTGGACTTCTCCAAGGTAACGATACAAATGAAAGCTTCCGAGCCGGAGCCGTGTGTCCCGACCACGGGAGACGGCGAGGACGCTTAGACGCGCTGCGACGGTCCCGGTTGGACCGGAGCAGTCCGCTTCACGGCGGGTCTGAGCTCTGAACGGCGGAAATAAAATAAAAAGGGCTGTTTGTTTTTCAAAGTAAAAGCATGTTATTCTTTCGCAAACAGACTGCAAACAACAGGAATTCCAACTTGACGTCCCTGCAACCTTTTACATTAGTAAACAGATTTTGCAACACAAATCATGTTTTCAAACTCTTTAGTAAGTTGAATAGAATAAATAGGGGACCCTCTGTAGTTCCAATCAATCTGTTATTAGTTGTCAACAGTAAGTCTGGTGATGTTTTGTTGACTAGCAAACAAATGCTGGTTAACCTTGACTTTTTATCCAATACCATTTGAAAAAGATAAGATCAGTATCATGAAGTTAGCTGACATTTTAACCTTTTCACCTGCAGCATTAATTGAGTTTTATAAAAGATATCTTTTACAAGCTTTTATCAAACTTCACACCAAACTTCATTTATATTGTAAATATCTTCAGGAGCAGTATGTTTACATATACTGTAATTGTAACCAAAGGGTTCTACAGTGAGGCAGTGTGTGCGTGTCGCAGTTTCAGACAAAACCAAATGAATTCAAAGCACAGTAACGGTTAAAAAGAGTCAACCTCAATCTAAAACACAGTCTAAAAAGACCGAATCTAAAAGTATTCCCAGAGATCTTAAGCAGCTGTAAAACCCAATAAAAGAGGGGCACTTCTACTTAAAAGAACTTGTTAAAAAAGGACACCGAATCGGACCAGAACGGGTGAGAGGTCGTAACCGCCATGAGGACAAGGCGCTTACCAAGTCAAAACCCGAATGGCGGACATGATGTAAAACTCCTAAACAACCGTTTACTCCGTGCTGCTGCAACTGCTGGATGCCTTCTCAGACCCCAGAGACGCATCCACGGACAATTATAAGACTCCCCATTAGTCTGTTAAAATAAAATTAAATCTCTTTTACAATAACACCATTATGCAAATTAATAATATAGATGGAATTAAAAGCATTCAGATACAAATTTTTCAATGGCTGCTGACTATATTTTCTGATTTATCGAGTTTGATTTTAAATTCTATTTAAAGAAAAAGTTTATTCTGTAATTGTTTCCAAATTGGCATTTATTTGACAAGACAATGCCTCATTTCAGTATGGAAACACACGATTTTAGAAAACTTGCAATACGCTACAACCAGCTTGGGAAGTTGATATCACGTGTGAAATTGTTTACTCCATTCACCTGCAGCATCGACCCTAAAGTCAATATTCAACTTAAATATCTGGTAATATTTGTAGCCCTGACCGTCCTTGTTCATTATCTGCCGTGATGCCCTTCGAATTTGGAATGAAGCACATTAAACGAGCACATTGTTGCTTTTCATCTCTTGCGTCAGCAGCGATGAACCGTAAAGCCGCACAGCGAGTGACGGAGGAGGAACATCGGCTCCTCTTTTTATCCGGCATTAAAACACTTTTTTACGCCATTGTGCCATACTGTCAAAAAAAAGTTTTAAAAGCCGTGGTTTGCCCGTCATCCATTTCCCTCCCTTCATTCACAGTGACAGTATTGTATGAATGCATGTGACCTTACTGTGGTTGTGTGAGAAGAGGAGTCTGCAAAAAGCTAAAGCGTCACCAAAAAAGCAAAACCCACCCAAGGCAGAACCTGTTCACCTTTGTTGTAATGCAATAAATTCAATAATGAATTCAAAAGTAGTGTATTGTACACTTTTATTTACAGCTACAAACCCACTGCCACTGCCAGGGCATTAACATTGTACTAGAAAAACAAGTAACCATCAACAATCCTAACATTACACCAGGCAAGTTAACGTTCATGAAACTGTTTTCTGTTTTTTTCCTGAATAAGCACGTGGTTCGTCAGAGAGCAGCATGAAAGTTCTATCTATCCATCAATAATTGATCTATTGTTCAATAGCATGTGTCCCTGTTAGGGTGAGGTCAAGTGGTCCAGCACTAAGGACACAGCTGGGATTAAATGTGCAGGGACTTGTTAGTCTGTGAAGTGTTTGTACTGCATTCCATTTGGAGAATCTCAGTCAAAAAAAAAAAATGAAACACACTTGAGTGAGTTTCTCTAATGTGTTTCATTCAGACATTGGTTGGAACGGAGTCCTACTTCTGCCAAAAACCTAGTACACATTGAATTTAGAGCAAAGTTGTTTCATAGCAAAAATAACTGACATGTTTGCAAATGTAAATCTGCAAGCGTTAATGTAATATTTCCATCTTGTTTTCCACATAGTTCTCCCAAATTTGAGGTTTTGCTTGCGCTATTTTGATGACATCCTGTTGTTGCGTCCTCTTTTCCTGCGCTGGTTTCCTGGTGTCCGACTGGAGAACTGGTGCCACGAGCTGTTAACCCTGATCCGCTCAGCTGATGTTCACAAGCCAGCAGAGGATGGAAAACATCAACTCATAATTATCTTTTTCAGATTTTCGGAAGATTCGGTCAAATTTGTGCCAAACATGAATGACAATATCCAAATCCCTTTTTATAACCAGTAACCACAAAGTTGTTTTGATGTTCTTTCTTTCAGATGGATTTGACGCTTATTGAAGGGCTGCTGAAACTCACCAACTTTCAAGACTCCAGCTTTTGTGTCGCTGTGGCCGCCATCATTTTCAACCCTTTCTTCTGGAACGTGGTAAGATATACCAGATAGTTCTGTACGTCGTCTTGCACACTTAATCACGCGTTGCTAAAACGTTGTCTGGTTCAGCACACTGGAACAAAGAGTCGGTACCAATCAAAAGTCAGTAGCCAGTGATGAACCCTGGGAGAATTCACCTTAACCGGCTCAGGCTGTAGAGCATGACTCCACTATTACTCACCATTTTCACGTTGGTATCGGTCTTAATTCTATGTTGTCGTCTGGATGGCTGGAACAGACCACACTTCCATTGCCAACACGCAGAGGCATATTATTAATGACTTGACTGATTGAGCGTGTTTGACAAAGGTGAAGTGTAGAAAAGGGGTCACGGGGTGAGGGATAGACGTGCAACAAAGGTCTCAGGGCTGGAATCACACCTGGGACATCGGCTGGACAAAGGCACTCAAACACTGTACATTTGTCACTAGCAGACCAGACTCCCAGTAACTCGTTCAATGCAGTGGAAGAAACCAACTGGCAACATTGGTCAAATCAAGGCGAGCGGTCCGACAGTGTCCCTTCAGTCTGTTAGAGAGGGTTATACTTTTTTATCATAATTGTTTAGGATAAGGATAGGGCAATCAGGACGGGTTATAGTTCATATCTTATGGGCTGTATGTTACATAATCTTGCGTCACAGTTATCGGGCTGGTGTTTGGGGTGACGATAGCTTAATGATTCTGAGGGATCGTTTCCATAAAGAAGAAAAGGATCTCTTTTTTTTTTCAATCAGATGTGATCAACATATCAAGTGTTTGCAAACATGAGTCATCCAAACCACCCAATACTTCAGTTATGCTTTGAGCTTCCAATAAAAAGGCCTTAACTTAAAGTCGGCACAGGAGAAGAAATGCCTTCTACCTGTATTCCGAACCCACGTTCTTTTATTGGTACTTTTTAATCACAATGATAAGGACTGTCCAACTTCCAAATGTTTAAGCACTAAGGCAACAAAAAAAGAAATAGTGAATAATAAAACTTAAATAAATTCCTGGTTTTGCTGCTGTTGCATATGTTTCACATCAGGTTTTTCTTTTTATTTCTTTGTCTAGCCTTTAAAGGCAGCGCTCGTCATACAGTAGCTCTCACTTTACAAAGGACATGCCAATTATTTGCATAGCGACAAATGTCAGTAAGGTGGTCCGGGCCCCCTGCACATGGTCCCAAATCACCCTTTTTTTGTCCATTACGCTCCAAGATTACCTGTGAGTGGCTGTAATAGGAATGATGGAACTTATTTAGAGACGCATGTGATAAAAGATCTTTTCATCTCATCTATTCCTTTTGCAATGACAAGGTGTGAGTGTTCGGGATGGGGTTTCATTTGGTTTCAAGGGACTGACATCTCTTAATGGGCGAAGTGATGAAAACAAACATTTGATCACGTTTCTGCCGCACCTGATGGCTCGGATACGTGCTGATTTCTCATTGGAAAGATTCTTTTATTGTTGAGCTAACTTGTAGCGTTGTCGCTGCACAACCGGTCCAGGGAACATTCTCTTTAATGGCGATGGTATCTCTGAACCGAGGGGTGAAGCCCCCCTCTCACCGCCCTTTGTTGCATAGCACACTGTGTGCCGATCATGCTGTGCTGGTGCTGTGCTCCTGATACTGCTCAAGGTTTAGCATTTTAGTGCCACAAAAGGCTGAAATATTTTAACTCGAATACAATGATCACGTTGCCCTCGGCAGGGCTGTCACAATATCAAATTTCCATCCATCCATCCATTGTCAAACCGCTTATCCTGCACACAGGGTCGCGGGGGGGCTGGAGTCCATCCCAGCCAACTTCGGGCGATAGACAGGGTACACCCTGGATTGGTCGCCAGCCAATCGCAGGGCTACACAGAGACATACAACCATTCACACTCACATTCACACATCTACGGGCAATTTAAAGTCCCCAATTAACCTGATCCCCAGAGCATGTCTTTGGACTGTGGGAGGAAGCCGAAGAACCCGGAGAGAACGTGCAGACTCCACACAGAAAGGCCACTGGGCGGAATCGAACCCAGGACCTTCTTGCTGTGAGGCGACAGTGCTAACCACCACGCCACCGTGCCGCCTACAAATATCAAATTTGTGTAGCAATATTTGCGATAAACGACATCATTGCCATTTTCAGAAGATTTTATGCCACTGATTGTAATACATTGTAATACAAGAAATGCTTTTTTTGTCAGAATATTTTGACAGAATCTGAATGTGAAAAATATATCCTAAATATATATTTTTTTTAAAAGAATGAGTACAAGGGACACGGAGCATCAGGCTTGATGCGCAAAAATGCGTCTGCGGCAAAATGTTCCCACACTGGAGCTGAAGATTGCGGCTTTGTTACCAAGTCCATTTGGACTTGTTTATCCTAATTGTCTGTAGATGTCACGAAAAATAACACTTCACCTAACAGCTCACGAGGGGTCACGCAGTCCCTTTCCCTGTCGGCGTCCGCTCTGCGTATGCGCGCGCGGAGGCGCTGCCTAAGCCCCGCCTCCACTTTCGACAATGAAAGCAGACAAGAGGACAGCGTAATCGAGTAAAATGTTGGTGACGTTCATTCATATGTGAAATGAATATCGCACCACCAAAAATAATCACACTCATTTTCATATATTGTGCGATAAGTCAATATATTGCGTATTGCGACAGGCTGAAGAGGATTGTTATTTACTTTTCCAAATCCACATGAGCCACTCTTTACATTGGGATACTTTTTTTAAAATTGTGAGTAAGAAAGTTATTGGAGTGCTCGCTCACTACACAAAACAGTCCCTGTTCTAGAACAAATCCCTCAGCAAGCCTCACTTCCCCTCTGTGACTGATGTTGGTTAATATTTAACATTGTAGACCAATCGATCAATCTTACAAAGGCCTAATCAATAAAAAACAACATTATTGCTTTTTGCAGCCAGGTTCATGTCTCAACCTATAAACTTCATTACGCGTTCTACAGAGTTGTGTCTCGTGACTACTGTGCCGTAATTTGACATTTTGTATCTTCACACAATCAAATGTCCAGGGCTGCCTCGATGTGTCATGGAAAAGTGTCTTCTGTGGTCTAATCCACCACTCTGTCTCTAGCCTGGTGAGTGAGGACGGAGTTGCTTTCCTTGTCCTTTTTAAAAGCAGCAGTGTGAGGTGCACGCTGCCCCGCTTAGTCCTGTACCCGGAATAATAAGGCATGGTTGATGTGACCGTGCACGCTGCGGACGTTGTGACCAGGTGCTGAAGATGCTCTGCAGAATGAAACAGCCCAGCAGTTTTTAGTCTCTGATTAACCGCTGCAACACAAACTTATGAGAGGAAGCGTTTGAATTTGGGTCACTTTAAGTTTTTCATGGTGTCCCGCAAGGTTTGGCAAGGTTTGATACATTCATCAGAAAAAAAATCTGCATTTTGTTGGTGCTCAACTGATGCAGCAGATGAACGGATGGAACAGAAACAACAGCGTGACCGGGGCAGCTTTTGTGCACTCTTGAAAAGACTCTCTTAGTGTCTGTGATCGATCTCCTTAAGAGGATGACTGCACGCGTTTAGAGAGCAAAGGAGAACAGCAGCTCCTTCAGACAGACAGAAACCTGAATGTGCATAGTTTTTATTCTAAATTATTCTGTTTTAGTCTCAAAATGCACTGAACACACACCGAACGCGACCCTCTATTCGCGATACAATTCTATATCGCTTTTTCTTCCTATTAGATGTAGATTAAGATTCAAAAATACAAAAGTACTACTATTTTTGATTTGAAAAAAAGAAAGAAAGAATCATTTTCTATTCCTCTGAGTTATTAAAAAAACGTAGAATTATTGGTGTCAGTGCTATATATTTACCTTACGGAAGTTGCAACTCCACCAAGTTACTCTTTTGCTTCTTTAGTTCTGTTCACTTTTCTCTGAAGACTTGGGAACCATTAAATGCCTCCGCAGTACTTTAATACAATCGGCAAAACGTGTGGGCCTTTCAGTGTGCACACAATGTGCCCTTCTAGTGACATCACCAGAAGTGTGTGTGTGTGTGTGTGTGGGCAGATTGTGAACCTTCAGTTTTGGACCTTCTGTTAAGAGTCTGTTCAGGATAACAACCTTGTGATGCGGTTATCAGGGAAGAAATCAGCTTTTTGCATTTGAAACTGATGTCTTTTTAACTTATTTTTCAAGGACACGAGCGTGACTGGTGTGCAGAGGACTGAGATACTGAAAAGCTGCAATCCGCAGCGTGTACTTACTAAACTTATTTTGAATATATCATCTGTTTTAAAAACTTGCAGCTTTGTTCATTTTAGTTTATTTGTTCTTTTTAGCTCAGAGAAAGAGTGGCCCAAGAGATTTTGCAATTTTATAAAAATCTAATTTTCTATTTCCTTCATTTTCTATTTTAGGTTTCACGGCTCATACAGTAATTCCCTCTCTAATATCCACCCCATGTTGCTGTGTAAACATCTCCTTCATACAACTATGTTCATTTAAATGTATTGCCAAAAAATACACTTTGTCCCCTGTTTTTACTAAACAGCTTGAACGCATCATGATGTGCGTCAATCCAACCTCCGATAGGGTTGATATCTCCGTAATGAGCAGCAGTGTGCTGGGGAGACGCAAACCAGTCGATCACTGCAAGCAGCATGCGTGAGAGTTAGTAACAAATCGTATTTTATCTCTTCCACATGCTTCGAAATTTGTTTCTCTGACATTGTGTGTGTGTGTGTGTGTGTGTGTGTGTGTGTGTGGAGTTACAATCTGTGCCGCTCTGCGTCAACATTAAAATCAAACATGGCACATTAGTGTAAACATGACATGTTGTTCTGGAAGAAACCCAGCGCGGGGTCAAGGTTGTGAGGGCACGCAACTCGACACGACGACCATCTCAGCCAGCGCTTCCTGGGTGTTAACATGCCAAGAAAGCAGCAGCGACGTGAATGCCATTAGATTTGGTCCGTGTGGCGTGCATGAGATAGATGTCAAGCTGACACGCGTCGGCCGGGAGGAGACGGG